CAACTGAAATGCATTTGGTCCATTAAATACCATTCCCACTTCACACAAACAATTGTTCAAATGTTTCACAAGTATGCTGGGTTGTGAACAAAACTTTCGCCCCAGGCGGGACTAGAACCCGCACCTCTCGCTTTCCGGGCAAGTGCGCTACCAGTTACGCTACCGGGGCACCATTTCATTCCAACTCAGCTTTTCATGGTATACGTACCATAGCTTTCAGCACTCACACGTATAACGTGTTGAGCCGGTTAGCCGATATCGGGTAGCGCACTTGCCCGGAAAGCGAGAGGTGCGGGTTCTAGTCCCGCCTGGGGCGAAAGTTTTGTTCACAACCCAGCATTCTTGTGAAACATTCGCAACGCGAACTGCGGCGTTAAAACAGCAGTTAACAAACAAAGAAGTCATATTTTTAAATAATTCAGATGCCGTATAACTTTCATCGGGAGCGATTCAGTAGCCTGAGGCATGTTCCAATTAACATGCTTTTTTTTCTTTTTTTTTTTCATATAATGAATGACTAGTTGTTTCAGAGCATGGCAGGTGTCAGGAAAAATGCCCTTTTTAAGATTACGTCGCGATATTTTCTTATACCTCTGTTTCTACTCCATGTGCACCATTTCTTCGGAGGAATGCGAAAAATGCGAAAAATACCTCGAATGGCTCTATAGGTTTGACCTGGACGGTCGGTGATTCGACCACTACGCAAAAACCACTCTGTGGTTTTTCTACACCCAAAATGACCTATACAATAGACATACTTTTTCGCCACTCCTCACTCATTAAACACACCTACCATATTGAGGTCTTGCTACTTGACAGTGCTGCAACTCCATTAGAGACACAGCGAACCGCTCCAAACGCCCTCCAGTGAGTGGATTGACATACTCTGTTTGTTTTTCAGCGTTTTCAATGTGTTTTTCAAGCAAATTAGAACCATTTATGAGAAGAAAAAAACAAGTATGAACAATAAAGATTTTCATGCACACCAGCTCAGCAGCCATTAAAAAATTGATGACCCATTGAACGTCTCTTTATCGTGAAACAGCATCGAGGAGCAGGTACGGGCGATTCAAAAACAAAACCAGCTCAGTACTGTGATTTCTGTCTACTCCTTCGCTGCTCTGCCCGCAACATGAACTAACAATAACAAAGTGAGATAAAACGTGAACAAAACGATAGGACTTAAGGACAGTCTATTGACAGATAATCTAAAAATCCATCATACAAAAAGAACAATAACAACCGTAAGTGCACGTATTTGAGCCGAGATAAAAATTTTAAATTTCCTAAAACACCTAAACAAAATAGAGTTGAATGCTACGATTTCCTTTGCTTTTTCTCATCAGCAGGCGTGTCAAACGTGAACGCAACAAACTGACTACCGTCGACAATCGGTGTACTTGAAGCGTGCCATGTTGAAGGAGGAGCAATCTCACAAGATATAAGGCACTGGTCGAGCGTGCTGTCGACTCCACAAAGTGGAACTGCTTGAGACTTCTCTTCCAATGGTTGTGGCCGAATCTAAACAGATGGCAAGGATGAAATTGGTTCTTTCATTTAGATTTTAAGTGTACCAAAATCCCAGTCATGCTCCACCATTCCGATTCCAGAATTTGGAAGGTAAACAATGTGTGTAAAAATAAAATAAAAGGTTTGCACACATAAGAAATAAACATGTAGTCCGAATTCTAAAGAAGGTAAGACCCATGTAGGGGCACCGTAGGAGATGTAAATAGACAATGCGCGATGTACACACTGACAATGAGTGCACAAATGCCTGATGGTGTCACAAAAGCAAAACAAAGAAGATCCAACAAAACAATTCAGGTTAATGACGAACGAAGAGAGAAAGTGTCTCCATCTCCACGTTTTGATCATTCTCCATTCCTTGTATTTCTTCGCCAACGTTCTCAAATACAATCTCAAGCAGCGGTCAAGTTGCTCGCAGGGTTAAGGATCGTTGCTATACGAGACCTATAAGGGAAGCAGAGTGCGTTTTCGTAGCTGTTTGTCGCCCTTAAATCATTTGCGAAATTCGGACTGTGAGCAATGATTTTAGGCGAGAGTGGGAAGCCGCTTATCAACTACGATCAAGGTTATTTTAACAGAACAGATAGCCGGTACAAAATACGGAGTACACACGAAAGTTGTAAGTATTGAGGACATCAGGTTACAGAACTATACCCAAAAAAGACAACAAGAAGGATGGAGGAGAACAAATGGTAGCCTAAAGGCAACTGGAACTGGAATGACGCAGAGAAGGCCATCAACATGGCGTATGAGTGAGAGAGAAAAAAGAAGTCGGCAGTCA